GACGGGCGCTGAGTGTCGAAGTGTTCTAGAGGGAGCCTTGAACGTCCCCAAGCATTAATAAAGTTGTTTAGGTTGTTGCTGGAAAAACTGAAAGATCAAAGAAATGCTAAACATGCCCCAGCCCTGAACCAAATTCCTTAAACCCTCATATAAACTCTATAACTCCACCACCTCGTTATGGACAGACACATCTCCCTTCTTGCTGTTCGTCATTTCCCTGATCAATGCTTTGGATAGATACAGATCACCCCTGCGCTTTGTGCTTATTTCTTTGGAATTCCAACCTGCCCCATCTCGTGATGGTTTAGGGTAGTCTTGAGGGAACTCCCCAGCAAACATTGGGTGGGCTAGACAGACCACTCAGATTTGCTACCAATTCTCTTTCACCACAGACAATGTTACACAGGTCCAGAAGGGTCTAGATCTGGAGGAATGTTTCTTTAAGATAAACACCAGGAACAAGATTGCAGGCTCAGTAGATGCACATGTTTTTTTCCAGGCAGCTGAAGCAGTCTAGACTCTCCCTGGCTCCCATATTGTCCCTGCCTGCTGGTACCATCTAGTTTTCTAATGCTTGTCAGTTTAATAAGGATACAATGAGATTTCATTGTCATTTCAATCTGCAGCTCTCTGATGACTAATAATTTTAAATGTGTCTTCATGAACTAATGTGTTAGTTTTAAGTATTTTCTCCTCTGAAAATGATGATGCCACTCTTGTCGTGTATTAATTCCCCCAAGTGTCCATGGGTCTGCCTCTGAGCACTCTGTTCTGTTCCACTGATCTCCTTTCTTATCCCTGAACAGACACCACATTGCATTTACCACACTGGCCTTGTAATATCTTTATGTTTAAAGGTCAAGTGTTCCTTCTATGCCCTTTTTTTTTTTTTTTCTGATACAGGGTCTAGCTCTGTCGCCCAGACTAGAGTGCAGTGGCACAGTCTTGACTCTCACTGCAACCTCTGCCTCCTGTGTGCCCTCTTTCATTAAGATTGACTTAGCTCGAGATCTATATGCCTCCATATCAATCTTAGAAGTTTTTGGAGAATCAAAAAAAGATAAAATCAATTTGAATATTTAATGTTTCTTTTCTTTTATTTTATTGTGAGGACAGGGTCTCGCTATGTTGCCCAGGCTGTTCTGAAACTCCTGGGCTCAAGCAATCCTCCTGCTTCAGCCTCCCAAAGTGCTGGGATTAGAAGCGTGAGCCACCATGCCTGCCCCAGAATCTTTATTGTCATTGCATTGAACTCATTAATTGATGAAGGATTGATATCTTTTAATGTTAAGTTGTCTCGCTGACAGCATGGGGCAAAGAAGTCTGGTTTCCTGTGTATTTATGATGTAATGAAAAAATACAAGGAAGGAAGACATTTGGGCAGAACTGAGAACCAGGCAGGGGCCATGGCAGAAGGGACCCTCTCTGTGCCCAGGACCTCATCACACGATGGCTAAGGCAAAGCTCTGGCTTAGCCACATTCATTCTGGGCCCGGCAGGCCAGGCAGTGGGCATTCCTCGCAGGCACGGTCTCATTTATTCATTTCCTTCATCAACCTTGTGAGGCAGCTACTGCTATTTCTATTTTACAGGCTCAGTAGGTGAAGAATTTACCCAAGACAAGTTGCAAAGGCAGAATCTGAAACTGGTGAACTGAGGCCAGGGTCTGCGCTCCCACCTGTGATGATGGCCCATCACCTAGGTTGCTACTGTCGCTGTGCAATGGCGGAGGAACTCCATCCTGAAGCTCTGGGCTTCAGGGTGTATTCTCACCATAGCCCCCTTGGCCTTATGGGTGCTCAGCTTGGCACTTGGAGTGCTTCTGCAGGAACCCCTGCAAAATGTGATAAGGACCTCCAGTCCCTTGCCCCCTGACTAGCCCCAGGGTGGAGAGCCAGCCAGAAAAGCAGCACATCCCCAATGCTAGCCACACCTCCTTATCTGCCCTCTCCGTCTGAGCCAGGAAGCTCAGCCATCAGGGGCTTGTGGTCTTGTTGGTCCCACATCCCACGGAGCAGTTTGGGAAACTCTGCAACCCAGGATTTCCCTTGAGACTGGGGGTTGGGACCACATGATAATTCTTTTTCCTTCTTGTTCTTCCTCCTTTCCCTCCTCCCCTCCTCTCCCCTCCTCCTCTTCCCCTTCCTCCTCCCTCCTCTTCCTCCTCTCCTTCTTCCTCCTTCCTCCTCCTTTTCTCCTCCTCCTTCCTCCTTCTTCTCTCCTCTTTCTCCTCCTCCTCATTTTCCTCCTTCTGCTCCTCCTTCTCCACCTTCTCCACTTCCTCCTTCTCCTCCTCCTCCTCTTCCTCCTTCTGCTCTTCCTTCTCCACCTTCTTCTCCTCCTTTTCCTCTTCCTCATCCTTCTTTTCCTCCTCCTCCTCTTTCTCCTTCCTCCTCCTCCTCCTCCTCCTTCCTTCTACTCCTCCTCCTCCTCCTTCTCCTTCCTTCTACTCCTCCTCCTCTTCCTCCTTCTGCTCCTCCTTCTCCACCTTCTTCTCCTCCTTTTCCTCCTCCTCCTCCTCCTTCTCCTTCCTTCTACTCCTCCTCCTCTTCCTCCTTCTGCTCCTCCTTCTCCACCTTCTTCTCCTCCTTTTCCTCCTCCTCCTCCTCCTTCTCCTTCCTTCTACTCCTCCTCCTCTTCCTCCTTCTGCTCCTCTTTCTCCACCTTCTTCTCCTCCTTTTCCTCCTTCTCCTTCCTTCTACTCCTCCTCCTCTTCCTCCTTCTGCTCCTCCTTCTCCACCTTCTTCTCCTCCTTTTCCTCCTCCTCCTCCTCCTTCTCCTTCCTTCTTCTCCTCCTCCTCTTCCTCCTTCTGCTCCTCCTTCTCCACCTTCTTCTCCTCCTTTTCCTCCTTCTCCTTCCTTCTACTCCTCCTCCTCTTCCTCCTTCTGCTCCTCCTTCTCCACCTTCTTCTCCTCCTTTTCCTCTTCCTCCTCTTCCTCCTCCTCCTCCTCCTTCTCCTTCCTCCTCCTCCTTCTCCTTCCTCCTCCTCCTCCTCCTCCTCCTCCTTCCTTCTACTCCTCCTCCTTCCTCCTCCTTCCTCCTCCTTCTTCTCTCTTCTTTCTCCTCCTCCTTCTCCTCCTCCTCCTGCTCCTCCTTCTCCACCTTCTCCACTTCCTCCTTCTCCTCCTCCTCCTCCTCTTCCTCCTTCTGCTCTTCCTTCTCCTCCTTTTCTCCTCCTCCTTCCTCCTCCTTCTCTCCTCTTTCTCCTCCTCCTCATTTTCCTCCTTCTGCTCCTCCTTCTCCACCTTCTCCACTTCCTCCTTCTCCTCCTCCTCCTCTTCCTCCTTCTGCTCCTCCTTCTCCACCTTCTTCTCCTCCTTTTCCTCTTCCTCCTCATCCTTCTTTTCCTCCTCCTCCTTCTCTTTCTCCTTCCTCCTCCTCCTCCTTCTCCTTCCTCCTCCTCCTCCTTCTCCTTCCTCCTCCTCCTCCTTCCTTCTACTCCTCCTCCTTCTTTTCCTCCTCCTCCTCCTCCTCCTTCTCCTTCCTCCTCCTCCTCCTTCTCCTTCCTCCTCCTCCTCCTTCTCCTTCCTTCTACTCCTCCTCCTTCTTTTTTAGAAACATGGTCTTGATTTGTCATCCCGAAGTTCAGCTGCATCATCACAGCCCACTACTGGGCTCCAGTGGTCTTCCTGCTTCCTCCTCCAAGTAGCTACCATGCCTAGATACTTTTTTGCAATTATTTTTTGGAGATGGGGGGTCTCACTGTGTGGCCCAAGTTGATATTGAGCCCCTGGGCTCAAGCGATGCTCTTGCCTCAGCCTCCCAAAGTGCTAGGACTACAGGTGTGAGCCACCAAGCGCGGTCAAGGACCAGGTGATAACCCTTAAACTCAGGGACTGCTCTGGGAGAAGTTGGCAACCCAGGGAGGCCTGGCCCTGGCTTCAGTCTAGCCCATGGAGTGACCTTAGTTGGGCAGGTGGCGGGGCATGTCTGGGCCTCCATTTTCTCATGCCATTACCCTTGGCTGGTCTTTCTTTAAGTCAAGGGGGGCCTCAGGGAGCTGACTAACTCCTGCTGAGGTCAGTGCTGGGCACTTTATTTCTGTCACCTCATTTAACGCTGTCAGGATGAGGTGAGGACTTTATAATTCCCATTTTATAGAGGGGGAAAACTAAGGCTCAGAGAGGTGATGTAACATGCCCAGGATCACACAGCTCTTAAGTAGCCGAGACAGGAGTTAAGCCAATGGTGGAGCAGCCATATCTCAGGTTACTCACCCTGAGCCTTTGAGGTAAGGGAGTCAAGACCTTCACCGTGGGAAACAGATGTCTGCGAAGATAAGCTACCCACACCAAGTTTGTCTACCAGAACTGCTTCCGTGGCTCAACTGATGCGATGCCGACACCCCAGATTTCCCTTTCAGGAACACAGCGACTTGCATAAAGTGAGGGCTGCCTTCCTGTCTTTCAACTGCTTGCAGGCTGGGAGGGAAGCGAAGTGCGTCCACGTGCAGTCAGCATTAGCACCGGCACCTGGACCGGGAGGTGGGCTGCAGCCTGCAGCTTCGGGGGCTGTTGGGGGAGGCTCAATAGTGGCAATAACTTCTCACCAGCAGACAGGGCTTGACAGTCCGCTGAGCTCCCTGGCAGGGCTTGGGGGCCGGGTAGGGAGGATGGTTGGTAAGTTGTGGATAGAGTGAGGGATGGACTTTTGCGGTGAGGCTCCAGGGTGGGGGATGATGTCAACACACACTACTCCCCATGAGTAGGGGGTCGCTGGAGCTGGGGTGGGGCTGCCATCTCTCTGTACCTCTCTGCCTCCGTTCTCCCTCTTGGTGTTGGCCTGTCTCTTAAGTCTCTCTCTCCGTCTCTCCATCTCTGTATCTCTACCCCCATTTCTGCTATCTCTGCCTGTTTTTGTTTCCTATTGAGAAACCTGCATGCAATTGCGACACGGAGGCCCAGCTGCCGGAAGTGCCCTACCCAACTTAGGTCTGGCCTGAGACACCCCCTTAGCTCAGGGCTCTGCCAGGCTGGTGCCAAACTCATACCTCCACTCATTCGGCCAACACATATTTATTCAAGGCTTCCACAAGCCAAGCACTGTGCTTGGCCTGGGCTGGAACAGTGAGTGAGGCTGCCCAGGTCCTTGTTCTCTGGGAGCTCAGGTTCTAGTGGCAATGCCCAGCCCCTGCTCAGGGAGCCCTCAACCCCACCCTCGCCCCTGGGCCCCACATGTTGAATGAATGGGAAAACTCCCAGGTGCGCTGAGCCCCAGATTGGTTTGCCTTCTACCTCTATGATGACAGCAGGTCAGAGGTTGGGCCACCCACGTGGCAGTCAGAGTGGGGAGTGGAGGGTTTGCCCAAGGTACCTCGCCCACTCAGTGGTTCTCAGAAATGCAGTGTCCCTGGACACCTGCAGGGCTGCCAGCACCCTGAAAGTGTTGGGATCTCTTCCAGGAGGGTGGGCTCTGATGGGTAGAGACTAGGGGCAGACTGGGTAGGAGGATCAACTCCTGCCCACCAAAACTAACCCCCAATACCTGAGGGCACGCTAGCCTCCTGAATGCCCCTCAAGGTTACAGGCATCCAGAGGCGGAGTTGCAGGAGGCCAGTGACAAGGAGGAGGAGGGGAGAGGGGCTCCTTCCCGGGCTATACAAACCACAGACTCTTCCCTTGCTGGGACCAGAAGGTAGGTGAGGGCTTTGCAATGAGGGCAGGGCATGGAGGTGACTGTCACTCTTTGCTGGCAGGGGGTCTCAGGACTATAGGAGCTCTAGACCCCTGCAAACATGCTTACATGGACTCTCATGTGGACCTGTAGTTGGATCTGGATGGGACCTCTGAAGCCACGTGGTCCAACCTGGTCCTCTCCCTCCCCAGCCACATTATACAGAGAAAGGAACTGGCCCAGGGAGGCGCAGAGCTGCCCGAGGTCACACAGAGAGTCAGAGCTGAGTCCAGATTGCAGGGCCATGCCTTCCTATTCCTGAGACGCGGAGTGGGCCTGGTCTAGTCGTGCAGTAGAGGAGGAGACTGTGGTGCTCTGCCTTGGGAGGTAGAGGATGGTAAACCAGCTGCAGATGAAGACACCTGTCAGGGAGGAGAGGCCTTGGTGAGCCTGGGGAGGGGTGGACAGGGAGTGGGACAACCTGGGCTGGTGGCTGCTGAGAAGGAGGAGACTCACCATAACCACTCAAGAACTACTGGAAAAGTCAGGCAAAAATGCAACCATTTCAAAAATGAAAGAAAAAGAACGAAATAGAAACCTTGGAAATGAAAAACAGAGACCTTCAAAGAACATCTCTACCTATACCTATTACAGAAAAGAAAGAGCAAAATTGAGGAATTTTCAGACATACAAAACAACCATCATTCCTTCTATAAAGGATTATTAAAGGAGGCACTCCAGCAAGAAGAAAAGGGAAATTGTGGGGCACAAGAAATTATAGTAAGTACAGAACATGACTTAGAAAAACTCTGTTTCGAGGAAATCTATAACCAAAACTCAATATGCAAGAAAAATATTGAAAAGAGTTCAATGGGCAATTCAAGGTACCAAGGGCTCTGTTGTATTGGGGAGGAAGAGAGAAATACAGAACAACTCAGACCCAGTGGAAACTAACTCAGTAGAGTGAAGTGTGCAGGCTTACATATTAAGGTAACCTCTGAAAGAATAGCGATGTCTTCTATAGTTTCAAGGTGCCTTTCTTCCCAACCGTCAACCCCTGGGATTCTCCAGGCATGGACTCATGATTCTCCAGCTGGAGACAGCTTCAGATGGCCATACGGTTATAATTTCTATAATTATTAATACAGTTCCCACATATTGAAGACCTAGTGGTTCCCACATACACATTGCCTTTGTTCATCATGCAATCTGGCAGGCCAGGTGTGATGGCTCACATCTGTAATCCCAGCACTTTTGGAGGTTGAGGCGAGTGGATCACCTGAGGTCAGGAGTTTGAGACCAGCCTGACCAATATGGTGAAACCCCATTTCTACTAAAAATACAAAAATTAGCTGGGTGTGGTGGCCTGTAGTCCCACCTACTCGGGAGGCTGAGACAGGAGAGTTGCTTGAACCCAGGAGGTGAAGGTTGCAGTGAGCCAAGATTGTGCCACTGCACTCTAGCCTGGGTGACTGAGCAAGACTCCATCTCAAAAAAAAAAAAAATCTGGTGAGATAAGTATGAGATTTTCCCAATTTCAAGATGAATGAGGACTGGAGGAGCTGAGTGACTTGCTGGTGATGAATGGGGCTAGGATTTGGACCAAGGGTTGCCTGGTCCCAGTCACTAAGCCACACAGTCTCATGGGGCACTGGGAGCCAGCCCTGGTCTTGGGGGCTTGTACCCACTACATCTAGGAGGCCTGGGTTTCTAGTGACTCCTCTGGACGGGGTGAGTCTCTTGCCCTCAGGCTGTGATGCCTCTCTGAGCTGTAGATGCAAGAAGCAAAGAGAACACATACAAACTATAACCCATGCACTGCTCTTACTCCTTTGCGGGGATCTCAGAGGAAGGGCCCTGTGGGGGCCAGTAACAAACACAGCAAGCATTTCCTTCCTTCCATTGATGCCTGGAGATCCCATCCATGTCATGCAGACATCAGATCCCATGACTCTGCCCTTCTGGTCACAGCTGATTGGACCAGAGATGGACAATGGACACCTGACTTGCAAGGTCATGTAGGGTTATGGCGGCCATGTTGGATAGCCATTTGGGGTCATAGTAAAGGGTTAGTGGAGAGAGAATGAAGGAGTTTCCACAGACACTAGGTGAGAGACTCCACAGCCCCGGGGAAAAGGTGGAGAACGTATCTGCTTTGGTTTGGGTAGCTTTTTCTGATCCTGGTAGCAGCTCCCATGAAGGCAGCTGATATGTCTGGGATGTTTGTTCCCTCCAAGTCTCATGTTGAAATGTGATTTCCAGCGTTGGAGGTGGGGCCTGGTGGGAGGTGACTGGATCATGGGGGTGGGTCCTCATGAATGGCTTAGCACCATCCCCTCAGTGATGGGTGAGCGCTTGCTGGGAGTTCATGCAAGATCTCGTCATTTAAAACAGCATGGTGCCTCCCCACTCCCTTGCTCCCACTCTCACCATATTTTATCTTCTGCCACGATCGGAAGCTTCCTGAGGCCTCACCATAACACAAATGGACTACTGTAGCAACCACACTTTGCTGCCCTGGATCCTTGCTCTGAATATTTGAAATCAACATCCTTGCCTTGCGCTAGCCTGAGCAGAGTCCTGTGTCTTGCAAACCAACCTCTCCCCCACCTCTCAACACTTCCTAGGACAGACAACGCAGCCCATCACCTCCCTGGTGCAGGAGCCTCACCTTGCAAGGAGTTGAAGAGTGCAAAGATGTAGACAGTGGAGAGGCCCAGGGGGGTGAGGATGGCCAACCCCCACGTCACACCCACCAGGCTCGAGAGGCCCAGCAAGGTGAGCACCTTCTTCCAGTTCTGCCCCCGCTCCTTGACTGCTGTAGTACTCGACAGGGTGAAGATCTTCCAGGTCACCAGGGCCAGGACCACCCCGCCAAAGAGGAAGGTGATGAGGAAGTAGCCGTGGACGGTGATATAGAGGGCGTACTTGGCTGTCCCGTCACGGAACCAGCATCTGGAGGATGGTGGCAGTGGTGGTGGGACTGGAAGAGGTGCCTCTGGCCAGCAAGCCCAGGAAGTCCCTTGGCTTAGCTTTTCCATCCATGAAGGTGTCTCTCCCATTTCCACCCATCAATCCCCGTTCTCCCACTGGGGAGGGCCCATTATCAGGCTCTTGTCTGGTGTCTCTTTAATGCCAAAGTGACCTCAAAGACATGTTTCGTTGGTACCATATGATGTAAAAAAAACTCAATTAGTGGCTGCCTTTAAAATCAGAAGATTTGATATAAACACCGAGATTTTCTGCTTATCCTAGAAAACCATACACCTGGCAGCTCTGTGGATGACCTCCTGAAGGACCGTAACTGGCCGCCCATTAGATGGGTCTGTGACTGCCAGTCCACTGCAGTCCCCACCTGACCCAATGCCTGCACGTATGTGACCTCTCCGGCTCCTGGGGCCCCTGCTTTTGAGGCCCTGGGGACAGGTCCAAGGCCTTGCCAGCTCCTCCTAGCACAGAGCCATGGGCCCAGTGGTAGGTGCCCCACGGACCCCAAGGTGGGAGTCTAGAAACTCAACTCAGCTCCATTGCCCCCTGCACTGCAGGGCAAAGGGCCTTAGGGAGCATGTTGATCCATTCCCCCATGCTGCAGATGAGGAGATTGAGGCTCTGGGAGAGACCGGGCCTGCCAGGGTCACATGCACAGCAGGCAGGGCAGAGCCTGGACTAGACCCAGGCTACTAGGAATCGCTGGGCAGGTGGTGGCCTGAACAAGGGCAGCTGGCTGGGCAGCAGTAGGGGCTGAAATCCAACACACCCTCCCCTCTCCAGGCTGCGCGCCCAGCATGTGGACAGGGTGACCTTCTTCACCTTGTCTTAAGCTGCCATATGGGCTGGTGTTGGCCCAGGCTCGAGTAAGGCACCCTGCCTCCTGGTCCAGTTCTTTCTCTCCTTTCTCAGGCTCCCTCTCTTGTTTCGCTTCCTCTCTCTCTCTTTCTCTCTCTCTCTTTCTCTCTCTCTCTCTCTCTCTCTCTCTCTCTCTCTCTCTCTCTCTCTCTCTCTCTCTCTCTCTCGGCTTCAGTTTACTCCTCTGTGCCATGAGCTGGCTGGATCTGAGGATTCTTCTGGTCTTGACATATTTGGTCTCTTTCCCTAGAAATCCCTCCTCTCCCCACCTCCCTCCAGCCCCAATATGTGAAGCCGGGGAAGTGGCATCACCCTGGCTGCCACTCACAGCTCCAGAGAGGTACGGTTCTCCCTGTCTCGGATGGTGTAGAGGCCGTAGCTGTTGGCACTCCCAGTGCCGATGATCATCAGGGCAGGCAGGCCTGGGCACAAGGGGAAGTGGCATGGCATCACGGGGGCTCGCTGGCAAGTCCTCCTCCACATCCCCTCCAGATGCCCATCCCTCCAGCTCTGGGAACCCCTCCTCTCTCTCCCCAAGGCTACTTTCCTCCGCACCCTTGGGGCCAGCCATCTATTCTGTCCGTCCGGGCAGCACCTACCCCAGCCCACCAGGCTCAGCTTCAGGAAGTAGTGTCCGAAGTAGGTGTTGAAGACCCTGACAGCGAGCAGGTAGAGGTGGAAGGCTTCCAGGCCCATCCAGGTGAAGACACAGAGCAGGAAGTAGTGATAGACGGCCCCCCGGGCCCAGCAGGTGGCATCAGAGCCCTTCGAGCCACTCCCCACAGTGATCAAGAAAGCCAGATTCAGCAGGAGCAGGCTGCCACTCAGGGCCACGTGGATCTTAGGGGCATCTTCTGACTTGAACCTCTGCTGGGAAAGCCTGGAGCAAGAAATGAGAGGCCCCAAGGGGCCGCAGCTCCCATGGGAGCTCCCGTGGGGCACTCAGGCCTGTCCACCCCAATAGCCCATGGCTCTCCACCCTCAACGCCAGCTCCTCCCTGCTCATATGGCTTCCAGCCCTGCCGGCAGCCAGAGTGGGAGCATCCTGAGGTTCAAGTCCAGGAGCCTCTCATGGCCCATGGGGCTCTGTGGGTTCCAGATCCTGTCGACCTCATCCTTGATCAATGTCAGGCAGGAGGATAGGGAAAATGAGGCAGCAGAATAGCGAGGGGAATTAAAAGTTGGATAAAGGGCAGAATAAGTAAAAGCAGAGAACTGAAGCAAGGTGAAAGGGGGTGGGTGAGCAAGAAGCAAGATGAAAAGCAGTGGTTCAGCAAGCAAAACAAAAGTGTTAAAATATAAGGGGGGGAATCCCACGGCCGGCAAGATCCGGACCAAACCAGTAAGGGGCAGCTCTTCAGAGATGGGCATTTGCTTTAGAGAAAAAGTATCCTTCACATAACCCCATATGATAATTAGCTACTTAAGGTTCATGCATTTGGGCTGCATATCACGCACGTACTTAAAATTATGGGATGGAGGTGATGCATAAATGCACAAGGGCCCGAAGTAACTGAGCAACACATCTATCAATCAAAAGCCAGACACTGGCTAGGAATTAGGCAGCCTTGGGAAGAGAAGAAAAAAACACACCTAGAACCACCCAAACCACACCAAGCTGAGGCTGATCCCATTTTACAGAGGTCAGCCCGCTCTCCTGCTCTGAGAGCGGAATGCTGCGTGGAATACACTCATGTCGCTTTGCTTGGCTATCTGTGTGTGTCTCATCCAATTCTTTGTTCGGGCCGCCAAGAGCCTGGAACTGCGCAGCACACAGGGGAACAGATGCATTAGCCCAACTGTAACTTGCAATTCCCTGAATGCATGCTGATTTTTCAGGCTGCCCAGACTCTGCCAGTGCTCTTCTCACTGTCTCAATGCCTTTCTCCCACCTTCTTTGCCTGACTCCTGTCCTTCTGCCTTTCAAACCCTCCCTGGATGTTTCCTCCTGGAGAGGCTGTCTCTGCATGCCCCCTAGCCTGAGCCGATTTGGACGTTTCCTGCAGCATAGTGTAACTCCCCATCCTCTCCCTCCTCGGGTCTCTCCCATGCGTGAATTCCAGGCCTAACAGTGGAGGGGCCGTGGATTCATTGGTGATGTGGATGGACAGGCAGGTGGATGCATGAAGCTGAAAATGCAGTAAAAGAGTGAGGCTCAGAGAGGGATGTAATCTTATGGGGCCGTAAAGCAGGGCAGGGCAGGGGCTCCAACCCTGGACTCCAGACTCCCTGCCTAGTGACTCACCAGGCTCACCTCCCTCTCTCTGGAGTCCCTTGCTCTGAATTCTTAGCAAACCGGATCCAAAAGGGCTCTCAGCCGAGGGAGGGGAGCCCCGGGGCTTCCTGGAGAACATCTGGGATCATGTCCACCTCACCTGAGATACCAGGCCCCACCCTGGGGAGCTGGTGGCAATTTCTCCTGGTGCTCCAAGCCCCGCTCATAGGGTCCAGCAATGCAGCCAGCTGGCAAGTCACGCTCAGCTTGTTGTGGATGGAGACTGTGTCCTAGGCCAGGGCTTGGAGGGTGGGGGTAGGGGGCACCGCTTATACTCATGGTTGGTCTGTGATGGAGTGGGTGGGCCTAGTGGGGGCTGCAGCCCAGGGCCAAATGGTGACACAGAGGCACGTGGAGAAGGCAGAGGGACAGCCCTGCACTCGGGGCAGGAAACCCAAGGGCTGCTTTAGGCCACCCCCAGGCACCCTCAGGAGGCTGGGGAACAGGACAGGGTGGGGCACTGGCTCTCCTAGGCGCCTTCAAGCTGGCAAATCCTGTGGGTCCCTCAGCCATGGCCTGGGCCCAGGCAAGCGAGGCTGCAGCGCCCCCTGCTGTTTCTACCTAACCTGCACTCACTCCCCCTTCTGGACACAGCCCCAGGTCTCCCTGAGGAACGCCCACCCATCCCCACTCACAATGATGACATAAGTCGGGGCCAGGGGTTCTTTGTTAGCTCCAACCCAAGAGCAGGCACGTGGCCTTGCCGGCCAATGCATGTTTTCTAGCCCTTGACCACAGTGACCCAGGCAGGCATGGCACATGGTCCAAGTTAGACCAGTAAGACTCAGCTCTGGCATACACACGGGATAACACTGCACAGGCTGATACACGCAGACACGCACACACATGCTCACACAGGTCCAGTTTCATGAGCGTGTGACCTCTGCAGGGCCCCATCCTCAGAAGGACTTAATGTTCTACTGTCGCCATCTTGACATTCTTAAATTTTTTTGAATAAGGGGCCATTTTTTTTTCTTTTTCTTTCTTTTTTTTGAGATGGAGTTTTGCTCCTGTTGCCCAGCCAGGAATGCAATGGCATGATCTCCGCTCACTGCAAACCCTGCCTCCTGGGTTCAAGCAATTCTCCTGCCTCAGCTTCCCAAGTAGCTGAGATTACAGGCATGCGCCACCACCCCTGACTAATTGTTTTGTATTTTTAATAGAGACGGGGTTTCACCATGTTGATCAGGCTGGTCTCAACTCCTGACCTCGGATGATCCACCCACCTCGGCTTCCCAAAGTGCTGGGATTATAGGCATGAGCCACCATGCCTTTTATATTTTCATTTTGGACTGGGCCCTGCAAATGATCTGTCCTGCACACACACACAAACACATAGACACACACATTAATACATGTAAAAAATGGTGGAAACTGAGCAAAGACTATATTCTAGTCAACGGTATGGTACTACCAGCTGCTGGTTTCGATAGTGAACTACGGCTGTCTAGGATATGTCCATGGGGGAAGCTGGAAGAAGGAACCACAGGACTCTTTGCACTATTTTTTGCAGCTTTCTGTTTATAATTATCTCAAAATAAAATGTTAAAAAAAAAAAAAAAACCCTTCTCAATCCTGGGATTTAGCTTAGAATACTTGGAAAGAGGAGACCTCTTTTATTTTTGCCTAAGCAATGGAGCTGTGATGCAATCCTGAGGCAGCCCCCAATGGCCGCCGTGACTGTCACGGCGCCAGCAAAGCTGTGGGAGGCAGAGCGAGACCAAGTCCCGGGATCTCTTTTGAGCCCCTGGATCGAACCCTGCCTGAAGCCCATACACCTTGGGTTTTTCAATTACATGAACCCTATTCACTATTTGCTATTCTCAGTTACATGAACCACGCATTCCCTGCTATGTTTAAGCCAATTTGACTTAAGTTTCTGCCACTTGCTCCTGAAATAGCCCTGACACATTTCAACCTCCAACCCCATTTTGGAATAAGGACACTAAGGTGTGGAGAGGACATTAATCAGAGGCCACACAACCTGAGTGCTTCCCACCCTGCCCTGCTGCCTCTCTTGAGGGTGGGAGGGAGACATGGTGGGGAGGTGGGGGTCACTCACCTCAGGACGGCATAGAGAACAATGGTGAAGGCCAGGAAGATCATGGACACCCCACAGCCTCCCTGGGAGATGCGCGTGAGGATCTGCACTGTGGACTGGTCCAAGATGGGTCTCTGCGGGTGACCCCGGAACCGAGACCATGTCAGTTGGAAGACAGGTCCAGGTCCCCCAAGACCACCGGGCAGTCCCCTCCCCTAGACAGGAGCTGGAAGCCCCTGGGACAGCTGAGATCAGAGTAGAAGGGGCTGTTACCAGGAGCAGGGCGAAAAAGGTCAGGTGGTCACAACGGCACACGGTCCCCTCGGGTCCGACCTCCGTGGAGCAGCCCTCAGAAGCCCAGTCTCCAGTGGGCCCTGGAGAGGAGGCCAGGGGAACAGAGGGAAAGGGAATATAGGGAGCAGAGGGAAAAGGAGGGGAGAGGAGGGGAACAAAGGGAAAGGAAATATAGGGAAGGGAGGGAAAGGGAGGGGAGGGAGGAGAGGGGAGGAGAACAGAGGAGAAGGGAATATATGAAAGAGAAAGGAGGGGAGTGGGGAGGGGAGGGGAGGAGAACAGAGAAAAAGAGAATATAGGGAGGGGAGGCGAGGCCTGGGGAATAGAGGGGAAGGCAATATAGGGAGAGGAGGAGGGGAATATAGGGAAGGGAAGGGGGAAGGGGAAGAGAGGAGGGGTGGAGAAGGGAGGAGATGGAGGGAGTGGAGAGGAGGGGAGGGGAGGGGAGGGGATGGGAGGGGAGGGACTTAGCCAGAGGAGCTGGCTCTCCCCGCAATGCAGCCCATACCCTCCCTACCTTTAGTCGCATCCCAGAATACACAGGTGAAGGTCATGTTCTGAAACGAAAGAATGGGAGTCAGGAGACAGGAAAGGGGAGGTTGGGGGAGGGCAGGGGAAGCGGGAGGACGCTGTGCTGCCTTGGGTCCTAGCGTGAGTGTGCATGAGGTAGAAAGCAAGCTTCATGCCCATGAGCTGCGTAGAAAAACTAAGTGCATCATTTGATGAACCCTTGGCCGAGGGTGGTGTGGGGCCGTGGGCGGGCGGGGGTTTGCATGTTTTCGGGCATGTGCGTGCATTGGGGAGCCTGCATGTGGAGCATGTGGAATGCCATGTGGATGCAGGTGGGCTTGCCAGGTCCTCATGTGCGCCTCTGGGGTGTGTGGCCTTGGACCTAGGTATGTGCACGGCCCTAATGACTCCTCCTGGATGGCTGTGGAAGGGTAGGGACAGATGTGCAGCGTCCCATGCAGGGCCCATAGGCCTGGGTGTGCCCACCCACCTGTCTGCCCCACAGTGACTGCCAGGCCTGGGCGAGGGACTCACGGGGGGTGGACGCTGGTGGGAGAAGATGATCTCCAGAGGCTCAGCCAGCCTGGTGACATGCATTCGTCCCACACTCAAGCCCACCAGGCGATTGTTCAACACGCTGCTGCCATCCCCCAGGCTGAGCTGGGGGCCCTGTGAAGGGGGAGATCAGGGGGCCAGGCTGTAGAAGGGGCCATCCCAACCCACCCGGGCTGGGGTTCCTAGCAGCCTCCAGGAACCCATGGCCCTTGCTTGGAGGGCGGAGTTGGAGACCAGGGGACCAGGGGGCTAAGGAGTCACGGGCAGCCTCCTCCCTGATGCTCCCAGTGGCCTCCTTCCTGGACTGGGCCAGGCCAACTGGCTGCAAAGCTGTGACCGCTCTCCACTGCTGGTCTCCAGAGCTCCTCTGCCCTCTTTTTTTTTTGACACGGAGTTTTACTCTTGTTACCCAGGCTGGAGTGCAATGGCACGATCTCGGCTCACCACAACCTCCGCCTCCTGGGTTCAGGCAATTCTCTTGCCTCAGCCTCCTGTCCTCTGCCCTCTTAACTAGAGGGAACACAGGGCCAAGATCAGCTAAGAAATGGAAGTCAGTGGGGTGGACAGCGTGCCCCTGAGGGTCTTAGCGTGAGTGTGCATCAGTGGAAAGGGGGCTGGTGGGGGGAGCACAGCCCTCAGGGGTACACACGTCTGTACACCTCTGGGGTGTGCATACCTGGTACACATATGTGCAAGGGCATGGCTGCACTCGCTCGTGTGGATATGATCACACCTGAGCACAGGGGATGCTGTGTGCACAGGAATAGAAAGGACATGCATGTTTGTGCACACACGAGGACACACAAGGGCACATGAGCACCCTCAGGACACAGGTACAGGTCAAAGGGCACTGATTATGGGGTCAGACATCTGAGAGCATGTGACCAGTGAGAGTCCGAAGGCCACAGACTCTAGTGACAGGGGTCTGGGATGACCACGGGCTGCATTAGAAACACTAAGAGGCTCACCGCCTGCTCCATCCCCATTGGATCCCTCAGCAGATGCCAGTGACCACAAGCAGTGGCATGGGGCCCTGGAGGACCTAGCACTTTACCTCGGAGCTTCCCCGAGTCCTCACCTTGAAGAGATTCCCTGGACCGATGTCCAGAACAGTGATGGCCAAGCGGACCACAGACCTGTTGCCCGGCAGGGATCCGAAGAGGCTCTTGGGAAGTCGCACTCTGTCAGGGGGCTTGTCCTCATCCTTCATCACCTGCCTTGGAATCTGCAACCACAGACTCAGCAGCTCCATCTGTACCCAGCCTCCAACATGGGTCCTGCTGCTCCCCCCGCTGGGAGGGGAAACTGAGGCATACTGGGTCTGGGCAGCACCTGAGGACTGTCAGGTCTGAGAGGCAGGAGGCCTGGGGCACAGTGCAAGCTCTGCTCCTCACAGGTGGTGCATCCCTACACAAGTTACAGCCCTGACGGAGCCCCTGTTTTCCCGACACAGACAACAGAGCTAACCTTGTGCCTGTTTGGCCACCTGACGCCTGGGCAAGCTGAACGTGCAACTGTGAGGATGGCTGAAGGCCGTGTGCTTTTGGCCAGGGCCCTAACAGTCCCACTGTTTACACAAGGTTTGATGGTGACAGTGTCTGGCTTCTGACTCAGGAAGAAATGGAAAGAATAAAACCATCAGGAAGGATGTTGAGGAAGGGTGGGAACAAGGGCAGAGGGGGACACGTACATTTACCCTGACTGCGAAATCCTCTCCACCCAACAACCACAACACAGTTTTAAAAAACAAAGAATGGTTAAAATATTGAAATACATATCAGTGGTCATTGCCAAGCATTTTTTTTTGACACCAAGTCTCACTGTTGTTGTCCAGGCTGGAGTGCAATGGTGCAATCTCTGCTCACTGCAAACTCTGCCTCCCAGGTAGAAGTGATTCTCCTGCCTCAGTCTCCCGAGTAGCTGGGATTACAGGCATGAGCCACCACGCCCGGCCACAAAGCATATTTTCTTCATTCTCTGAGCTCCCTGTCCCCGCACAGCCTACAGCCTGACCCACCCAGAGCCTGCCTCAGAAGCAGCACATGTGCACTGGCACAGGGGGGCTATCGTTGGAGCTGACGGCCCCAACTTTCTCCTTCCCTGTCCAGACTCTCATTGAAAGGACAGGTGGGTGATTTCTGGGACCAGTGCATAACCCAGGCAGAGGGCTCCGCTGCTCGAGTGACATAATAAAGGATTGAGGAAAAAATCTATCTTCCATTTCCCTTTCTCCAGACAAACCCAAAAGTCCCACATTCCTAACCGACCCACCTCGATGTCTCAACCTCTACCACCATGTCTATTTCTTCCAGAAGGCCGGAGACTTTCTGAGCCCTCACCGTCCCAGGCATTCCCTGTGCATTATCTCATTTGCTCCTCTCATTCATCTTTTGTTTGTTGTGTGTTTTGTTTTTGTAGAGATGGAATCTCACTGTGGTGCCCAGGCTGGACTAGAACTCCTGGCCTCAAGCCATCCTCCTACCTCAGCCTCCCAAAGTGCTGGGATTGCAGGTGTGCACCCCTGCACCTGGCCATGTTAATCTGAAAAGTAGGCAGTACCTTCATCTTTTTACAGATAGGGAAACCGAGGCTCAGAAAAATAATTTGCCCATGATCACAAGGGCAGAGCTGGGATTTGTATCCGGCCCAGCATAAATCCAGAGTCTGCCCATTGAACCCTTTTCCTCATTTCAACTATGTTGCCTTAGCAGAAGAGCTCATGGGAATTTTAGGCGTGGAGGAGACTTAGAGCTCATTTTGCAGGCACAGCTCTGCCAGTTGGGATGTGGGGGGAACAAGCCCTGATGGGCACCAATCACAGGGTATAACTCTCTTAGAGTTTTGAAATATTGTCCAAGAAAGATAGGGTCTGAACCAGCCAAGGGGGCTGGGGAGCTCTTCACCTGAGAGGGCTTGAGAGAGAAGTACAGGTCTTCTGTGGTGCTGGTGCTGAGGTTCTGGACCAAAGCCTTCAGGAAAGACATGTTCACCTTCTCTGTCAAGCCTTTCTCCACCAGGTGGGCCTCGTAGTTTAGCCAGTATCTGCAAGGGGCCAGGGACAGCGGGAAGGTAGAATCCTGCAGTCTGAGTTACTCACTCCTTGGTGAGAGGGCTGACCCACACTATCAAATCACGGCAGGAGGAAGAAAGGTGGCTTGGGAGCCACCCAGACTGTTCCTGCAGGATTTTAGCTAGGAGTCCCCTCTGAATATTTTAGGCATTTGTCTATTTCTGTATGTGCATGTGGTAAAATACATATAACATAAACTTTACCATCTTAACAATTTTAAAGGGTCCAATCCAATGGCATTAAGTAATTCACAGTGTTGTGCAACCATCATGCTGTCCAGTTCCAGGACATTTCATCACCCCAAAGGAAACCCGTACCCACGAAGCACGCCCTCTCCCTTCCCCTGGCCTCTGCAATCACTAATCTACTTTCTGTCTCCATGAGTTTGCCTATGTCAGATACCTCACACCAGTGGAATTATACAACATGCAGCCTTCTGTTCCTGACTGTCACTCAGCGTAATGTTTTCTGGGTTCATCCAAGTTGTGGCATGTACCAGTATTCCATTTTACTTTATTTTTGAGATGGAGTCTTACCGTGTAGCCCAGGCTGGAATGCAGTGATGCAATCTCAGCTCACTGCAGACTCCGCCTCCTGGGTTCAAGCGATTCTGCTGCCTCAGCCTACTGAGTAGCTGGTATTACAGGTGTGCACCACCATGCCCAACTCATTTTTTGTATTTTTAGAAACACTGAGTTTTAGTATGTTGGCCAGACTGGTCTCGAACTCATGACCTCAAACAATCCACCTGCCTCAGCTTCCCAAAGAGTTGGGATTACAGGCGTCAGCCACTGCACCTGGCCCTATTTCTTTTTAAAAATTCCTTTTAGTAGAGTCGGGGTCTCACTCTATTGCCCAGGCTGGCTTTGAACTCCTGGCCTCAAGTGATCTTCCTGCCTCAGCCTCCCAAAGTGCTGGGATTGCAGGAGTGAGCCACTGTGCCTGGCCCCTGTATTTTTTTTTCTTTTTATGGGTGAATACTATTTCATTGTATGGAGAAATCATATTTTGATTATGCCTTCACCCATTGAGGGACATTTGGAGATTTTCCTCCTTTTTTTTTTTGGCTATTGTGAAAAGTGCTGCTACAAATATTCGTGTACAAGCTGCTGCTTTATTTTTATTTATTTATTTTTTTTTTGAGACAGTCTCGCTCTGTCACCCAGACTGGAGTGATCTCGGGTCACTGCAACTTTCGCCCCCTGAGTTCAAGCAATTCTCCCACCTCAGCCTCCTGAGTAACTGGGATTACAGGTGCCTGCCACCTCGCCCAGCTAGTTTTTATTTCTGTGTTTTCAGTAGACACGGGGTTTCACCATGTTGGCCAGGCTGGTCTCAAACTCCAGACCTCAAATGATCTGCCCACCTTGGCCTCCCGAAGTACTGGGATTACAGGTGTGAGCCGCCATGGCTGGCCCATGTACAAGCTTTTATTTGGAGACTTGTTTGAAATTCTTTTGGGTATGTACCTGAGCAGCACAAAGAGGAGCCTCTGAACAGCTCTGGGGTGTTAAGAAGCTGCTGGATCAGCTGCAGGTCGGGAGGGAAGTGTTTTCAGACCACTGAAGTAACATGATCCAATGAGACTGCTGTCCTAACACCAAGCCTGAGAGCAGGCTTTCATTCATTCCTTTAACACATATTTACTCAGTACTAATACAAGCCAGGTGCTTTTCTAGGTATCCCGGAAGAGTTATGGGCAACTTTGATTAGAAGTGGAAGAAGGAAAGAGAGGCAGGGATATTTTTGGCGATGGCTCCTGAAGACGTTTCCTAAAGCCCTCCATCTCCCTCACCCCCGCGTCTAACCAGTCTCTTGTCTTACTGAGCCTCCATCGTATCATCTTTCCCTCCACCTCCCCTTTCCAAGCACACCATGCCAGTTGCTGCTGGTGGTGCTGGCTCGGCCCTCACTCCCACCCAGGCCCCTCTAGTGCATCCTACGGGGTCATGTCTTCCTTTATCACCACCCCATCCCCATTCTTGAGGCCTGAGCAATCTTTCCAAAATGCGGAGTTCACTATACTCTACCTGCGCTTAAAATATGTCATTGCCGGCCAGGTGCGGTGGCTTACACCTGTAATCCCAGCACTTTGGGAGGCTGAGGCTGATGGATCATGAGGTCAGGAGATCGAGGCCAACAAGGTCAAACTCAGTCTCTACTAAAAATACAAAAATTAGCTGGGTGTAGTGGCACACGCCTGTAATCCCAGCTACTCGAGAGGCTGAGAGAAGAGAATCGCTTGAACCCAGGAGGCTGAGATTTCAGCGAGTCATGATCGTGCCACTGCACTCCAGCCTAGCAACAGAGTGAGACTCCATTTCAATAAAATAAAATAAAAAGTCATTGCCTTGCCACACACCCCCATTGGTATAGCTTACACAATTCTTCACACCTTAGTCTCTGCTTATATTTCCAGTCCTATCTCCCACCCATAGCATCTCCTCATTGCCTCTTCCATCCCCAAGCAGTTTACATTGTTACAGTTCAAAGCATTGAAAGTTATCCCCGAATACTCTCAGTTCTGCTGCCTGTATCCCACCATTGCTTAGATCCAACTGGAAAACTCCTATGCACCCTTCAAAGCCCTTTCTGGGTTTCCTCTTCTGTGAAGCCTTGGCCGACTTCCATCCTCTGGGCTAACCTGGCACCTTGTCTTCCCTTCTCTATACACTCTGGAGTCATCATTATTTGGGTCTGTGTCTGTCCTTCCACAACTCCCAAGGGCTGGGATAGGAGTAGATTCATCTCTGAATCCCCTAGATCAGTAGGGACCCCAACTGCCAGAATGGAGGTGTTGGGTCTGGGGACTGTGGTGTCAAACAAGGTGGAAGGGTGAGATGGGAGCAGCATTTTCTGGGGCCATGGTGGCAGATGGCCCCATCCCTTCCTGACAGCCCCCCTTCCTGGAAGTTTCAGATTCCCCCTCCAGCTCAGGGGACCCCCTTACTTCTGCAAATTTCCCACATCGCAGGGCTCGCTCTCGGACTGCCTGCACTTGGTGAAGCACCCAGCCTTGTCTTTCAAGTTGAATGCGCTGTATTCGTCCATGCTGTCCCCCAGGCAGCTGTGTCTTGGCCCTTCAGTGGTCTTTTCCTGACCTAAGGAAGGGATGCAGAGAGTGTGAATGGGCTGGATGAAGATGGGCAGCAAGGAGGAGGAGGGGGAAAGGAGCTGGGGCTCCAGAGTCTGCTGGTTGGCCTGGAACCCAGCTCCATGCATCACATTAACAGTACACTTGAGCGGGACGCAAACCCTCTCTCAGGCTGTATCCAAGGTGAAAGGAAATGTCCCATCTCCCAGAGCTGGTAGGGTGCTTTGGGGAAAGCATGTACGAAAGGCTTGGCACATGGCTCTGTAAATAAAAGGTTTCATATATTTGTGCTGTTACTCCTTTACCCCTTCCTCCAGGGAGTCTTCCTGGCTTCTCAATTATTCCACATCAGACCTTCCAAAGCCCTTACAGCTATGGATTCTTGTGGAACTCTTGGATGCCTTCTGTCTTGGTTTGCCACGTTCTCCCACGTTTACACTACGACCCTCACAGCTACCTCCCGGGACAGGCAGAAAATGCAGCAAACCAAGGCCTCTCGAGCAAAACGACTTGAGAAAGGTTACTAGCTAGTTGGAGGTTGCTCCAGGACTGAAGACCAGCTTTTGTGACTTTAAGTTCAGTTCCCTTTCACCTAATACAGGGCATGAAGTGAAAGCTTTGAGTCAGCTACTAGCTGTAAGTCCAGAAGCAAGTTACTTAAACTCTCTAAGGCTCAATCTTTTGCCAGCAAAATGGGGCTAATAACGCGTTCCTTCCGAGTTTTGGGAAGAATTAGAGATAAAGGACATAGCTCATTGTAGGTGTTCAGAGAGCTACCACCTTTAATGGTTTATTGCCCAACCTTCTGGAAATTTTGCAGAAGGTGTGCATATGCAAGTATTTATAAGCACATCATTTAAAAAAAATTTAAAACAATTTTCATTGAGAAGAGTGCGTTCTCACTATGTTGCCCAGGCTGGTCTCAAACTCCTGGCCTCAAGCGATCCTCCCACTTCGGCTGCCCAAAGTGCTGGGATTACAGGTGTCAGCCCGGCCAATACATCATTTTAAAATTTACACAAACAAAATCACTTAGCAATTTATCTTTTTTTTCTTTTGAGACAGAGTCTTGTGCTGTCTGTCACCAGGCTGGAGTGCTGTGGCATGATCTCAGCTCATTACAACCTGTACCTCCCAGGCTCGACTGAGCCTCCAACCTCAGCCTCCCAAGTAGTTGGGACCACAGACACATGCCACGATGCCCAGCTAGTTTTTCATTTTCTTATATTTTTTATTTTTAATTTTTGTAGAGACAGGTTTCACTGTGTTTCCCAGGCTGATCTCGAACCCCTGGGCTCAAGGGATCCGCCAGCCCTGGCCTCCCAAAGTGTTGGAATTTATAGGTATGAGCCACCACACTTGGATGAGCAATATATCTTGAAGAACTTTCCACCTCATTCTTTATATAGCTGCAATCTATTCCATTATATGGGCATTGCAACCCTTTTTAACCAGTCCCCTGTTGGTGGACAATGATTTTCATAATCTACCCGAAGAATTCCTGAGTGTGCATCTTTTTAGCTTGTGCTGAGAGCTCATAGAAAAAGTTCCTATTGTAGGACTATCTGGATCTAACTGTATGTGCTTTAAAACTCTGCCGGGAAGGCCAGGTGTGGTGGCTCACACCTGTAATCCCAGCACTTTGGGAGCCTGAGGTGGGTGGATCACCTGAGGTCAGGAGTTTGAGACCACTGTGACCAACATGGGGAAACCCTGCCTTTTGTAAACATACAAAACTTAGCCAGACCTGGTGGCAGGCACCTATAATCTCAGTCACTTAGGAGGCTGAGGCAGGAGAATCACTTCAACCTGGGAGGCGGAGGTTGCAGTGAGCTAAGATCGCACTATTGTACTCCAGCTTGGACCACAGAGCAAGACTCCATCTCAAAAAAAAAAAAAAGAAAAAGAAAACATTCCTATCATAGGACTTTCTGTATGTGCTTTCGAAAACTGCCAGGTGTCACTGAATTTCCCACCAAAAACTGGTGCACCTATTTAAACTCTCATCAAAAGTGGGTAAGAGAGACTATTTATCCACATGCCTATTATTCTATAGTTTACTAAACTTCTGTCTTTTTGCTAGTCTGAGAGATGACATGGAATCTTATTTTCATTTAAGGAGTTTGAGCACCTGCCTGTATATCTGCGGCTGATTATATGTCTTCTACTCTGAATTGCTTTGTCGTGTCTTTTCCCATTAATGCTGGGACATGGTCTCAGCTCTACACCCTCATTTTTTGGATTGCCCGCCCCAGAAACTGTTAGCGGAGCTCTCTACACAATGGGTGGTGCTGGGGGTGAGGCGGGCAGGGGCTTGTTTGCTTTCCATTTTTTATTTCCCTCTCTACTGTTTGATTTAAAAAAAATCACGTCCACTATTACTGTCACTTAAAAAAAACTGTTCATTTTTAAACATTAAGACAAAAAAATAAAATACATGATAAAAATAATGGCTAAATAAAGAGTAATGGCAGGGTAAAAAAAAACATTTGGGAGTGGATTTTGTAACAATGTATTCTACATGTGACAATTCGTTTTAGACCGCTTATAAAGGAAGTTTAAATTTCTGTTAGCTTGTAAAGCTATTTATGATGCATTGTTTAATGGGAGATGCAAATGATAGATGAGCATGCACATAATATGATCCATGTTTGCTTTTATATAAAGGGGAGAAGAGGGAGAGGAGGAGGAAGACAGAAGCAGGGAGAGGGGGGAAGAGAGAAGACGAAGGGATGGGAGGGGAAGGAAGAAGAGGACAGGAGAGGAGGAGAGAGAACATGGTCCGCTTGAGGGCAAGTGCCATTCTCTGCCATCCCGGCCCTGCTGTCGTGAATGGGCACAGGTGCAGGCAGCCCACTGATGGGTGACATCAGAGCCTCCCTCCCGGACTGCCAAGAATTTCAGTGCAGACATATAAGTGAAGCTCTTGGCAAACACCCTGAACAGAGACGATCATTAAATATCTTTCTGTGTTTATTCTTTGAAGCACTTCATGTAGACAAGGAGACCCTGCGCTAGGCCTGTGGGTCGGATAGCACCTCCTCCTCTCCAGACCCTCTGTGCTCTAGAGCCTGGCCTCCATGGACTGCCTCATTTGGGGTTCAGCAAATGGGGAGGTCAGAGGGCAGGAGGAGGGCAGGGTGGACATTCACCCCCACCCCGCACGCCTCCCTCAGCCCCTGCTGGCTCACTGCGAGCAGACCACCACCATTTCCCTCCCGCAGCCATACTCTGGCTCCAGAAGCCCAGGTGGCCAGACCTCAAGGTGCTGAAGGCTGCCCCAGGTGCCAGCCTGCCCAGCGACCACCCTTCTTGCTCCCTGTGCCTCATTTGGGGTTCAGCAAATGTCACGTGTCCCTTTGTGGCAGCCCCTCCACTGCATCTGTCCCCTTCTCAGCCCTAATAGCTGGGTCCCACATGCTGGTGCCCACCACACTGCCTCACTCCTGCAGACTGTGAGCTTTTTGAGGGTGGGGGCCGAGTGGTACCAGCAGAGCCGAGGGCACTATTGATGCTTCTTGAATGAATGAATGAACAAATGGGCAGACAGATGAACAGAGACTAACACATAACTATCCACACAGGAGGGAGTCTTACTTCTGGGTGTAGACCTGTCAAAGCTCCTAACTCCATCAAAGGGCTGCTGCTCTGCCCCAACCGGAGCATGCACGTCACCATGCAGAACACAGCATCACCTAGAGGAGCCTCGAAGGCCCAACCAGCAATGACAGCTGGGACCTGAGGATGCCCATGAGCCCTGGTCACAGCTGCCATCGGTGGCCCGGTTCATCCATCAAGGGCCGCCTGGTAGCCTGCTCTGCACCAGGACCTCCCGCGGCCACTAGGACAGTGCTGCCATCTTCCACCCTGTTTTTGAGCCAGGGACTGATTCACTCCACTGAATCTCCTGATGTTTGAAGAGAATAGGGTTCTTTGAAGCTCAAAGAGGTTGATCTATGAGGCCAAAGCCATGTGAACACACACTGGACACCCAGGGAGATGGACCTGCAGGCCCCTCACCGAGTCAGGAGCAAAACGAGAGCGGCCCACAAGACCCTGAGACAGGAGCACTACGGAGGGAGCACTTATGGGGAGCACCTCCCTCTGTCCCAGAGGGTTGCTAAGATGCCACAGAGGCCAAGAAGAGTAAATGGAGCCGGTTAGGTGGGGAAGGGGCAGGGGGGCAGCTTTCCTGGGAGAGGCGCCAGCAAAGGCAAGGCCGGGTGTTTCCACGGCCTCTGGAGATGCACCATGTGTTCCTGTGTGAGACGGGAGGGTGACGGGGAGGAGTATGGATCCTGGCTCAGGCCATTGAGGACCAAGGGGCCATGGCTGAGACTGGGAGAGGGGGCCAGAGTGGGGTGGCGTGTGCGAGAGGAGAGGGCCAGACGAATGAGGTAATAGGCCTTCCTGGCCTCAGCTTCCCGAGTGTCCGAATCCCGTCCCCAGGATCCCACAAACCAGCTGGAGAATCGCCTGCCCAGAGCCGACCCTGTCTCACAGCCAGGCCTATCAGGGAGCCGCAGCCCAGGCTGGGGAGTCACGAGCACCCTCTGACCTCCCCTATCTCCAGGGCACTGTGGGGCATCCATGGGAACCCGAGAGCAAGGTTTAGTAGGAGGACAGGACTGACCCAAAGGGACAGGGCTAGAGGAGGTGCTGAGGCAGCCATGGGGGACTCTTGGAGGACACGTCCCAGACATCCCAACTCCTCACCCTCTCCTGTCCCTGCATCTGTCCCTGGCTCCCTCCCTCCGAAGGGCAGGGTGAGGGTGAGAAGCCAGCCACTTACCTAAGGCCAGGAGCGGGAGAAGCGCGAGGAGCAGAGCCCCCAGGCCCCTGGGCGTTGCCATCCTTGGCCAGTCTTGCCCACGCCACCAGAGTCCTGCAGCCGTCTGGCCCTCTGGCCCCAGACTCCGCCAAGCTGGCCCGCCCCCACCCTGCGGCCCCACCACTTCGGCTTCCTGTGTCCTCTTTCTCACCCTTCCTGCTCAATGGCGCCATCGGTTGGGTTGTGAAAGGTGAGTGTGGGGAACTGGGCAGTGTTCTCAGCCTCACCATGCCCCGGAGCCACCTGCAGAGAAAGCTGCTGAGCCCACCCAGGGATGTGCCCCAGGGTCCCCCTGGGGTGGGATCTACGAGATGGAGGGGTGGGGGCATTGAGTGGCCACAGAGGCCTCGCCTTAGAACAGACCCCTGGGAACTGTGATGCGCATAGGCGTGGAGCCAGGTGCACCTACTCAGACCCCTCCTCTCACAAGCTGGGGGCCTCTCTGAGCCTCGGTTTCCTCCTCTGTAAAGTGAAGATGGCAATAGGGCTGCCTCCTAAGGCTGTGTCAGGGTTTGATGAGACCTACAATAACCCGGGCACAAGCCTGACTCTGGGCATGAGGACGAAGACCTGGATGGTGCCTAAGGCTTGAACCAGGCTGGAGGGCATGGGAGAGCCGGAGCCGGCCCTGTGGCCCGAGCCTCCCCCACCAGCTTGGATAACAGGACAGACTCAGAGACAGGGTAGCAGGAAGACAGGAGTGCGGCCCCAGTGTGTTGGCCCCTGGCCTGACATACATCCTGACCACTTCCTGGCTGGGTGGCCTTGCACAAGCTGTCTGTCACCGGTGCCTCCCGAGGTGTGTGTGTTGCATTCACAGATGACGCATGCAGAGCAGTTTGGCCGGTGGGTGTGTTATATCATTTCTGATCAGCAGTGCTGTGAAATCGTTGTCTTCCCACCCCAGCTGGTCACGGATTAAACAGAAAGCGGGAGCAGCAAACACGCCTGGACTTCAGCCTAAAGGGATTGGGGCACCAGCCACTCAAGTCTCAACTCTGGAAGCCCCAGGGAGGCACAGTGGATAAGCCCATGGCCACCTGGGGATCGGAAGGTGAAGGACACCCTGCCACGGTGTGTGGTCACTGGCACCTCCCTCTGGCCCACGGCGCTGGCACTGCCCTGCTCAGCCTTGGGGTTGAACTGGGGAGCTGCTTGGCCCCTGCTGGCCTCCATTTCCCCTTCCTCCCACTCAGTGTCTCCTGCTGAGCCCTCTGGGTCTGGAAAGGGGTGGGGAGGGGATATCTGGGTCACTCACAGGGTGGGAGCGAGTGAGAATCCAGCATGGAGCAGCAGGTCAGAGCCCAGGGCTTCCTGAGCCCCAAAAACTTCCTCTGCAGGGTGGGCCGTGAAGTCAGATGAATGGCGGTCCTACCACTGCTCCACACCCGCCCAGCCTTTTCCTACACAACCTGCTGGCCTCCCTCCCAGCTGCAAGTGAGGGTGGGGTGGGGCAGTGGACTTGGGTGAGCTGGGCCTGTCACTGGAGCCCCATCCTGGCTCTGGGCACAGTTAGATAGGCTCATAGGTACCAGTTTGTGAAGAAGGGCCTGGGGTTGAGCGGGCTGGGATTCTGACCCGCCTACCTGGGAATGTGGGATCAGGGTACCTAGGAGGAGAACAGGGGAAGGTCAGGTGGGGCTGGAAGGAGAACAACCTTTCCCCACGACCCCTTCCCAAAAAGACCCCATGGGGACCAGGGACTGGCCTGGAGCCACTCACAGAACCCTGAGACCCCCGAGTCCCAGGGCCAACACAACAGTAGTATCCCTTCCTGTGACCTCCTGCCTCATCTTCTCCCAATGACTCCAGTGGGCAGGGCCTCAAGTCCTCAGCCTTCAAGCCTCAAGCCTTCAGCCACTCCAATGCAATTCTCAAGCTAGAGGGATGTTTCCAGATGCAGGTCTGGCCACGTGCTGGCAAAAAGGGTGATCCTGCAGCCCAGAAAAGTGCATGATAAGAACCATCAGGGTCAAAGGGCAGCACAGAGCTGTGAGTGCCCCATCCAGGGCCTTCCCAAGAAGGTGAGACCCAACCCAAGACCCCTCCCCATTACTTGAGCCTCGGACACAGATGTTTGAGAAGTGGGAGAATTGCAGGGTGGGGGTGGTGTTCTCTTCCTGGGGAAGGGAGCTGGGTCCTTTCCCTCCCTTCTGGAGGACGTGAGGAGTTGCCTCAACCCCTACCCCAGGACCTAGCCCAGCCATGGGGCTCTGAGAGACCCCCTCACAGAGACCTAGAGGCCTGTAAGGAGGGAAGTTGGCTCTGATCCCCTGGGCTGCCCAATCCTGACACAGGGGTGGGGGAGGCTTGGGAAGGTTTGGCCTCTGTCCTCTGGAGTTGGGGGCATAAGAGGAGCCCCCCCACCCCGTAGATCTTATAAAACCTTTTTACAGGTTTTTAAAATGTGATATGCTTCTCTGAACACCCACTGTACTTCAGTATCTTCACATTTTAGGGGCTTCCTGTGTTGACACTGTTATATTTCAGAAAGAGAAATATGCACAACTATAATTATAAGGTTTTGGCTGGGTGCGGTGGCTCATGCCTGTAATCCCAGCACTTTGGGAGGCCGAGGGTGGATCACGAGGTCAAGAGATCGAGATTAGCCTGGCCAACATGGTGAAATCCTGTCTCTACTAAAAACACAAAAAATTAGCCGGGTGTGGTAGCAGGCACCTGTAATCCCACCTACTCGGGAGGTTGAGGCAGGAGAATCCCTTGAACCCAGGAGGCAGAGGTTGCAGTGAGCCAAGATTTCGCCATTGTACTCCAGCTTGAGTGACGAGCAAAAGCTCCGTCTCAAAAAAAAAAAAAAGAAAAAAAAGGTAGGCAGTCTGGCTACATGGGCCGTCATTCCTACAAGGCAGTGACCAGCTGGAGCTGATGAGCAGCTGCCCCCTCAGCGTGGGATTGGAAGTCTCCGGTTTGCCCAGACCCCACCACTCCCCATTGCCTCCCCAGCATAGACACCAAGTTGCCATTTATTTTCCCCTTTTCCCTGGTTGATGAGGTTTCTAGCAGTCAATTTTTTTTCTTCACACACAGCCCTCTTCTCTCTTTCATGTTTTCTGATTGGCCCTAAGGTGTTTGTATCAGTGACTCTTTTAATAGAAGCACAGGAAAAAGCTCAGAAGGAAATGCCCCAAAATGTTTACACCAGTTTGTTAGGCAATAACAACAGCTGATTTTAATTTTTCTTCTTGATTCTCTTCTACAGATTCCAAGTTCTCTACAATGAACATGTACTTCTTTTTAATATCAAAAAACAAAAGAATGGGTACTTAAAAAGAGCATCCTTCCCATCTTTAAGGTCAAGATCATACACTACCTCCTGTAGGAAGTCTTCCGGGATTCCCAGCCAGGAATGATGGCTCCCTCTCCTCGTGCCTGTAGCTCTAGGAGCTCTTGCTTCATACATGCCTCACATACCATGCTGAGGGTTGGCAGGGAGAGTGATAAGATCTGTCATCCATGTCCCTACCACCTAGCACAGGCCAGCAATAGACCCACGCGTGTTTGTTGGACAGCATTAACCATGATGGGGGCCGAGTGTGCCTGGAGTTATTTTGGGGGCTTGGAGAGAATCCCTTAGGAGAGTGTTGGCTCTAGGCCAGTGTCACCAGAGGTTGGTCTCAGTCCTTGGAGTGCTGGGATGCAAACCAGGTGGGATTGCCACAGTCCACAGTTCTTGCCACAACAGGGCTTCAGGAGAGGCCGTGGCCCCTGTGAGGTGTGTGCTTAGTCAGGGTGTGCAAGGGCAATGCAGCTCAGAAGAAGGCCCAGATGGACAGAGGGACCTGCCCAGCCCAGGCATCTGTACTGAGCCCGGGTCAGGGGCAGGCCAAGGCTTGTGCAGTAGACAAACATTTACAGCAGACAGCAGGCGGCTCCTGGAAACCACGTCCCGCAAAATAGCATTGGAATAGGGGACCCAAGGCTGTGAATGAAGGAGCGGGAAGGCCCTGGGAGAGGAGAACCCCGGGGAAGATGGAGGGAGGGCTGGGAGGTGACGGAGGGAGGGGGGCTGGGCTCAGAGGTAGGCGAGCTGCTGCTGTGCTCCTGGCAATGGGCTTCTCCTCCTCCAGGGCTCCGGCCCTGAAGCTCTGCCAGGGGCCCCATTTGCCCTGGGTGCCACCTGAGGTTAAAAATCAGAGAGGATGCAGAGCACCCTCAGGGTGATCACGAGACACAGAGCAGCTGGAGTCATGTTTCTGTCCCAAGCAGGGGCAGAGGACTAAGGATGTGCCAGACCCTCAAGATCCAAGGCCTGGCTCCCAGCAACGAGGTTGGGCCCGGGGGTAGTGGGGAGAGACCAGGCCTCTACCTGGATTAGGACAGATGTGGGAACAGTCCCCCAGCCAGCATGGTGGCAAGCTCCTGAGCCCCTTGGGAGCTGAATGAGAGCCGAGTAGTCCCCAAGGCCAGTTGAGAAAGCCCAGCCCGGGAGCCTGTCTGCCAAGGCAACAGCCTATCCATCCATGGTCCTTGGGCCTTCCCACTGGCCTGGGGCTGGGCCCTGCTCGGGGGCCACCGGCAGTGTGAGATGAGGCCGAGTCTGCTTCCTCATGCAGGCAGGCAGGTAGGCTGGAGGCCTAGATGCGGCTGGACGAGGTGCTGCCCGAGCTGATGGGGAGCCTGGAGCTGTCAGAGCTGCTCTTCAGGGGGGAAGGGCCGCCCCGGGCCTGCAGCCGCATGGACCAGTACCAGAGGAAGATGAGGAAGCCTGTGGGCAGGGAGGGCATGGGCTCAGCAGGTGGGGGAGCCCTGTCCCCTCCCTCCTCCTCCGTCCCCAGCCACCGAGACTCAGGTCTGCGCCACCTCACCACCAGCGTTTGCCCAGCACGTGCTGTTGGGCACCCATGGGACCCGGCCATACTGTGCTAAGTCCCTATGTGGCCTCTCACTGTGTCACTAGCCTCCTGCAGACCCATCCTATTCATTACTATTCTCTTTTGTAAACAAGGAAAGGAAGGCCCAGGAGGCTCAGGTAAGGGGACGTGGTTGAGCCAAACGGTGTGAACAGGCTCTGGAGCCCACCCACTTACGCCCTGTGCGATTTTGCACCCTCCAAATTACTAGCACTCTGAGGTCTTTGCAGCTCAGTAGATGTCTGTGGGAATGGATGGGCCTCACTCCCAATCCCAAGTGCCCTGCGTCCACAGGCAGGAATGAAGGCTTAAACGCTAAAGAGCTGAAGCTTGGTAACATCTCCCCACCACCAACTCTCAGCTCCCATTCTAGGGTGGCCCTGTATGGGAGGCTGGCCTTGAACCCCATGTGAGCCCCTGGGCCTGGCCATACAGCCCCCTCCCATTCTGCACGGCCAGGAACAGAGGGGTGTGCCTGCCTGTGTGTGCACCTGAATACACATATACAGGTACACGCCCAGGAAGGGACCCGGTTGGCATCAAGTCAGGGCCCCTCCACCCCTGACCCACTGCCCTCTGGCCATGCCCTCCCTCACTGTCCCTCCTACACACAGCTGGTTCTAGCCTCAGGACATTTGCTCCTGCTTCTCCCTCTGCCTGGAGCTTCCTTCCCCTAGACCAGGGCTCCTGAACCTATTCTGTGCATGTGACCCCTTGGGCATTTGTGAAAATGCAGAGTCTGACGCAGCAGGGCCCAGGTGGCCCAGAGGCTGAATTTCCAATAAGCTCCCAACAGTGCTGCTGCTGGTACCACACCTGAAGCAGGGAGACCCTCCATCCCCACATAGTGGGGTCTTTCTGTTGTCTTCACACATCTCCTATCCAGAGAGGCCTCCTTGGCCACCCTTCTTAGGGTGTCCCCTACCCCAGCCCAGGCACCATGCAGCACATGCTCATGATAATTTCTCGACTATCTGGGACCACCTTTGACGGCTACACACTTGCCCACTGATGCCCAGTCTTCCCCACTAGAGCTGAGCTCCACGAGAGCAAGGCCCACACCCAACCAGCTCAGCCATAGTTGTGTGGCTTAGCACAGGGCCTGCACATAGTAGGTGCTTAATAAAGACTTGTCCACTATTGCCTGGATGGCCCCATTTTATGAATGCGATGACTGAGGCCCAGAGAAGGGAAACCTTCTGGTTCCTGGGTGATCTCTTCCCTGCCCTGTGCTCCATGTGTGAGCACCCTGCCTGGGCCAAGGGACGGGTCTTCTCCTTACCTTGGAAGGAGGTGATGATGCTGAAAAGGTAGAGGACGACAAGCTGGAAGGTGCCGGAAGCAAAGGAGAAGAAGATCAAGGCCCAGGGCAGGCCAAGGACCAGGCTGAGGCCCAGCAGCGTTAGCACATGCGACCACTTTTGGGTGTGAGGGCGCAGCCGAAGGATCTGCACCACCATGGTGCCCAGCATGGCCATATTGAACAGAAACACCAGGCTGAAGAGGCCCAGGTTGGTGATGTAGCTGACCAGGGAGTCCCGGATCCAGCACCTGCAGGCAAGGGCCGGAGGCTCAGTGTGCGGCCAGCAGGGATGGCATTTCCCGGGCTGTGATGGTCCTGTTTGTTTTTAGGATTATTCACTGTTTACAGCAAGTGCTACTTGTTTTCTACTCACAGTGTTGATGTAATCTTAAAAATACATGTACGTTAACAAGTTGGATTGTTTAAAGGAAAATACTAAGTAAGTAATAACATAGATAGTACAAAAGTGAGGCAGAAATCACCGGGTCACAATGTGAAGGGCTGAAAATTTCAAAACCACTGAACCATTGGGAAGGACCCTTCCCAGCCTGGAGCTCAGGAACCCTGGCTTCCAGGCGGGGTTCAGGGGATCCACAGGCAGGGCCGCTGCCAGCCTGGGAGAATCGGGGACTGGAGAAGGACCAGATTTCAGCCCCACTCACCCCTGCCTTTGAACAGCACACCAACCTCAGGGTTGCCAAGAGTAGATCCCTCCCCTCCCTGAGCCTCCGTCTTTCCCATGGGAAACAGAGAGGTACTGCTGAGGCAGGTGGCGAGGCTCATCTGCTTCAACCCACGCACCCATTCACGAATGAAGAAACCTAAGCTCAGAGAATCACTGGCACCTGTGCAAGGTCACCTGGGGAGTGAGTGCTGGATCCAGGCCTTTTCTCAGCTCCATGACTCTTAAACCAGTGCTCCCACCACTGCCAGGCCAATTCCTTGAGGAGACTGGAACCCAGGTGTCTCCTGGCCAGCATGACCTGGGCTGCACTCTGGCCTCCACACCCAGAGATCCACCTCCCTGCCCCCATTGCACACAGCCACTCACATGGAAGGGTAGATGACGCTCTCTGGAGTCCTATGCACAGCCAGGATGATGGGGCCATAGTTGTCCACATCCACCAGGGCCACCAGTGTCACCAGAAAGATGGGGAAGCCTGAGGGTGGCAATGCATGGCGCTCCATCTCCTGTTCTCTGAGGCCTGCCCCTTCCCTGCTGGCCTCAGGGGGTCTGAAGGGCGAGGCCCCCTCTGAAGTCTGGGCTCCCGAAGCCCACCCAGCCCCATCTGGTGAAGTTCTCCCAAGCTTGGACCCTCCCCTTCCCCATTCCAGTTTGGGTTTCCTATAAGGGGAAGCCATCTCCTCCAACCTTAGCTCTGCCCTTGGTCACCCTGGGGGCCCCTGGAAGAAAGGCCTGTGGGTCTCTGCTGCAGGGCTGGATGTCATGGGGAGATGGGAGGGGCAGACAGTTTAGGAGGGACAGCAAGAATTCTTCCTTCAGGGGCCGTCTGCACTAGACCTTGACCTCACCCATCAGGTGGAGACTGGAAGCTCCCTGGAGGAGGCTGCCCACCTCCAGACACAGCGTCCTGACACAGAGCCACCTCCAAAGGAATTTCATGCAAATGAGGGAGTGGACAAAGAAGGGGCCCGATGACCGACCCATGAGGAACAGCAAGCTGGGGTCAGGGGCATGCGGAGGCTGGGGGTCTGTGCAATGGCCAAACAGACTTGGGGCATCAGGAGCCCCTGGGCTCTGGGTCTGACATAAGAGGGATGGGCCACAGGGGAATGGAACAGTCATTGGCCAAGAGCAAAGTGCCAAAGCCACGGGGAATCTGCTACCCG